CTACTGTACTGAAATACAAATGATTTTTGTGTACTGAGTTCTATTAGGGTACTTTTCTGAATTCATTTATTAACTCTAAGAGTATTTTGTGCATTCTTTAGGAATGTCTATATTTAAGATCATCTCATCTGCTAACACAGTTGGTTAAACTTCATTAATTCCAATTTGGGAATGATACATTTTTCTTGCCTATTGCTATGGCTAAAACTTTCAGTACAAGGTTGACTAGAAGTAGTGAAAGTGGGAAGACTTGTCTCGTTAACTAAGCATAGGAGAAAAACTTTCAGTAACTCATAATAAAGTATGATGTTAGTTGTAGGTTTTACACAGATGCTGTTTATCATGTTGAGGAAGTTCTCTTTTGCTCCTACTTTATTATTTTATCATGAGTGCTGGATTTTGACAAATGCTTTTTTTTCTGTGTTAAGAGGATCATGTGGTTCTTCCTTTATTCTATTAATGTGGTTTATTACATTGATTTTTGTATGTTGAACTGCCTTTGCATTCCTTGGCTAAATCCTACTAGTCATGGATGTATAATTCTTTTAATATGTTGTTATAGTAGGTTTGCTAGTATTTTGTTAAAGACATTTTTATTCATGTTCATAAGAAATAGTGATCTATAATTTTCTTCTGATAATGTGTATGTAATGTGTGTATCTGGTTTTGGTGTCAGGATAATGCTGGCCTCTTAAGTTTATTTATTTCCTCCATGAGTGAGAAAGATAGGAGAGAGAGACAGAACCCCTAACAGAGTCCTAGATCCATGTCCTGCTTTAGCCAGTTCTGAATAATGGGTATGAGCATACCCAGTGTGTTCAGGGAGATCTGTGGAAATGAACCCAGAACCTTCCCATGTGGGTCAGCCTCACAAAGCACTGTGCTTTACCTCTGCACCACTGTCTAGTTCCCACTGCTGACAAATGAGCTGGGACAAATTCTTTCCTCTCTTATTTTTTGGAAGAGTCTGAAAAGAATTCTATCAACTCTTCCTAAAATGTTAGATAGATTCTACCAAAAAAGTCATCTGGCCCTGGGCTTGTCTGTGCTGGGACATGTTTTATTACTTCTTCAATCTTTACTTGTTAAAAGTCTTATTCCAAGTTTCTATTTGAATCAGTATTGATAGTTTGTGTATTTCTAGGAATTTCTCCATTTCATCTTTGGAACAGCTTTACATCCTCACTGAGGGATGGACAGTGACAAGCCCGTAGGTCTAACATTTTGATTCTGGAACATGTGTGCTCAGTAGCCTCACAGCCTCTCAGAGCAGGTCAACAAAACAAGAAAATAATGCCTTCAAACTTTGAGAGTCCTTATAAAAAGGAAATGGTAGGACCAGCAGTTAGCGTAATGGCTATGTCGCTGGACTCCCATGTAGTCAACCGCGGTTTGCGTCCTGGACCCAGTGGCTTAAACTCACGCTGGGCGCGTGTCCGTGCGTGCCCAAGATCCCGAGAGGAGAATGGAGGAGAAGGGATTGTGGCGTGGCCATCCCCCCTGGGGGGTGATTTCTCACTTTCTGTCTCTCTGTCTCTCTCTGTCTGGCGAGCACACGCGCCCTATAGGAAAAAAAAAAGGAACTGGTGATTGCTCAGGGAGGGGAGATTCTAGGCAAGCTGGGAGAAAATGTAGTGCTGCTGCATGGGAGGAACAAAGAACAAGTATTTCCAGATTCATAGCTTTTAAAAGTTCTTAACCCAAGATTCAATTTCCCTAAGTCTCCCTCCATGTTCCACATAACAACAAATGAACTAAAATACAATATCCTAAGCATTGATGAATGAAAGCAGTTTATATTTTAGGTGTAATCCTGACAATACTGTACTTAATTTGCTATCACAAGGTTTTTTCTTGAGATAAGAATCTAATCTTTTTTTACATGTTTAGCATCAGTAAGTTGGTATAATGTTGAGGAGGATAGGAGAGATAAAGGAGTCAGAGACTAGTAACAGAGATTAATGGTCCTGCAGTAAATGTCCTATACAGTATTTAATGATTAAAGGACAACAACAAAAGGAACAAAGGATATAAAAAAGAAGAAAATTGTATTAAAAAAATTCTGACATTCTAAAGAGAGGAAAACAATTAAAGGAGGTGCTAAACCAAGCAGTGTACAGTTAGGCGATTAGTGCTAGGTCACTGGCCTTATGATAAACAGGGCATCCAAACCCAGTGCAGCATACCCTGGAAAGTTTATATCTCCTATTTGGTTGCATGCCACAGCAAATGCCAATGCAATAACTTTACCCCTACACTGTATTCTGCACACACCAGATCTGCAGTAAACAGCATGACCCAAGGGGCAACTTCTGGTCCTTCAATGATTAGGTAGGCTATAAGTTTGCTAATGTCTTGAGGTTAAAATAAAAGAAGAAAAAAATTACAAGACAGTCTTTTTCATAAGAAAGATGGTCAATAGTTCCTATGACTACTTTAAAATAAAAATTGTTTTAAAAGATGAAAAAGTGGGGCCAGCAAGTGGTGAGGTGGTTAAGGCACTGGTTTCCCACATGGCCAATAGTGGTTTGAGTCCTGGGCCTGGCAGCTTGAAAATCATTCCGGGCATGTGTGAGTGTGTGCCCAAAATACCGAGAGGAAAATGGAGGAGAAGAGATTGTGGCATGGCCATATTCCCTGTGGGGTGATGTCTCACTTTTTCTCTTATTGTTTCTCTCTGTCTCTCATCGATGAGTGCATATACCCTATGGCAAAACTTCAATAATAATAATAATGAGTCAGCAGATAGTGTAGCAGTTATATCTCCAGACTCCCACTGCTGACCATGCTTTGTGTCCCACACCCAGTGGCTTGAAAAATCACTCCAGGCACATGTGCGTGCATGCCCAATATTCCAGGAGGAGAATGGAGGTGAAAGGATTGTAGCAGGGCATTCCCCCTGGGGGCTGATTTCTCACTTTCTCTCTCACTGTGTCTATCTTTTTCTCTGACAAGTGCATGTGCCCTAAGACAAAAATCCTTAAAGAATAACAATAATAATAAAAGATGAAAAAGTTTCCATTTTTTTCCATCTACAATATTACAACCTCCTCCCCACTCCAAAAAAAAAAAAAAAAAGAAAGAAAGAAAGAAAAAGAAAAAAAGAAAGAAATAAAGAAACTAGTAAAATAAAATCATGAGTGAAAACTGTTCTTGAAAACTTTGCAGGATTGTAACAGCTTTCTCTTGGTTAAATTGATTGGTATAGCAACATTATAAAATGACTATTAGGATTCATTGTGCACAACAGAAAGTGCTGAAATGTCAGCCAACTATACAGCAGAAAGTAATGGGTTCTGAACCCCTGTTAGTCAAAAATGATTTTGTTTCAAATTAGAAATTGATTTTTTTTGGACACAAGCCCTTTCCAGGCTTCCGGCTTCTGTAGCTGGGCCCAGGAGAGATTAACCTCCACCACAGCAAGGGCTGGCCTGATGATACTGTTCTCAAAGTGCCTTTGCAATTGCTGCTCTCTAATGTTGCTGTGGTCTTCGCCAATAACACAAGTTATTTGTCTCTTTGCTATTACACTATATTTTTTTCATTTTGCCATTTTATTTTAGTGCTGACACAAATTTGTTGACAAGTTAACAGAACGCTATGTTAAGTCTACTGGTGTAACCACTGCACCAATCTTAACTGGTTCTCTACTAACAAAGAAAGTTCAGAAGATTCTACTTCATACAGTAAATGTCCACAATTTCATGGTTTGTTTTTGGTAGCAAAGTCTGACAGGAAACTTCTATGTTGTCCCAAAGCAATAGAGGCCTACAGAGTTTCTGCCTTATGGGACCAGCAGTTAGCGTAATGGCTATATCGCTACATGTCCCATGTAGTCGACCGCAGTTCGAGTCCCGGATCCAGTGGCTTAAACTCACATCGAACATGTGTGCATGTGTGTCCAAAATCCTGAGAGGAGAATGGAGGAGAAGGGACTGTGGCGTGGCTAACCCCCCCGCCCCCCCCGGGGGGGGGGGGGGGGTTTTCAGTGGCTTAAAGTCACGCTTGGTGCGTGTGCATGCATGCCCAATATCCTAAGAGGAGAATGGAGGAGAAGGAATTGTGGAGTAGCCATCCCCCCGGGGGGTGATTTCTCGCTTTCTCTCTCTCTCTTTCTAGCGAGCACATGCACCCTATAGCAAAAACCCCTCCAAAAAAAAAAAAAAAAAGGAAGAAAGAAAAAAAGATGATTATCTGAGTGGGAAAAAAAGAGTAGAATCAGAAGGAAATTAGAGTTGATGGTCTTAAGCAGGAAAAATAAGATATCTGTAAAAGAGGAGTGAGGAGAAGGAGGCTCAGAAACCTTTTTTGGCCTTTGTTTCCAATCCATTTCTTCTGTACAAGGAAGCCCAGACTTATACCATTCTTTTCAAAAGCCCTTCCTTTAAAGATGCCAGGATAGATTAAGCCAAAAGCCACTCCAGAAACAAGTAGGAAAAATAATTCGCTTTACTCCACACTTAACATAGTTATATGTAATTAATTTCTTTAAAAAAATTAACAAGTATAAAATAGGAAGTATTACTAGCACTTAAGAGACTGCTAAGTAATATATGCTTTAGATTTTTGAGGTTTTATTTTTATCCACAACGTGGAGTTGTCCATGACCTCTTTTCTACTCCCACCCATGTTTCCAGTCAACTGAGGATTAACTGTAGTTGTAAAAGGATTTACTTTTCCAGAAGAGATTTATTTTCAACTTCTTGCCTTCTTTACTCACTTTAGACATTACTTTGTGTCCATGACTGTACTTATTGCTGGATTCTTGCCGTTTGTAGCTTCCAAAAAGGACAAATTGGTCATAGTTTCTTATGTTAAGTATTCTAAATAAAACACAGATGCGTTCAATAATCTAGTAGATGTACTGTCTGTGGCCTTATAGGCACATGTCAGTTTGTAACATTTAATTCGTGCTCAGCATTGTGGGAAATACCTGGAATTCACTGGCTAACGGCCATGAATCACCTTCTCCAGGTTGTTGTTACACAAGCTAAACTCACCTCTTTGGGGTCTATATGTATCTCTCTTTTGACACGTCCACAGGGTATGATCTTCCACATGTGACTGAAACCCAACTGTCTTCCTTTCCTTCCGAGTCTCTCCATTGTTTGTGGAGTCCTGGTATTTTTTAATGGATGGTGATGTTCCAAGTAGCCAGCCATTACATTCTGACTTTAATAAACTGAAAGAAGAAACATAAGTCAGCCATAGAGAGCCTAGAAGGGAATACAGATCATGTAAAGACGTTTGAATTCAACATGAGACGAAATGCAATTTTTAGAGTAAGAACTTTCTTTTCCTTATATTTTTATTGAGGTATCATTTAAATAATTTACTAAAGATCTATTTTTGTGTCTTGCCACAATAATTTTAGAGAAGAAATGGCCTTCATCCTAAAAAAAGAGCCTGAATTAGAGAAGTGAAACTCAAATCCATGAAACTGCTAATAAAGCCACAGAGTATGACTAAGAACCAGAATACCTGTTGAAATAAAAAATATGCTTTTGCATTTCTAAAATGCTTTCCAAGAACTAAAAATGAATGGTAGGAATGAAAATATGAACAATGTGCCTAAAAATGCATTTGTGTTTCCCATTTTCAATTGTTTATAATATTATGTAGCCAGAGTATATAAGAAGTACAATAGTGCATGTGGAAGAAGTGAACTCCGTACTCACATAATTTCAGTATAAAGTCGACAAGCCAACTATAGAATAAAAGGCATTTTAATAAAAATGAACACACAAACATAAGTTTTTCCTTCCTTAAAAAACTGTGTTCCCACCATTAGTACATGGTCTCTTATAACATTTAATTATTTTAAGGAGAAATATTCTGATGATGTGTTATTTCTCACTATTCCATCAGTCTCTGTTTCTTCTAATGTAAGTTCACCACAGACTCAAGAAACTTTGGTTTTGTCTTCCCTTTCCCCATAAACAGAGTAAAAAAATTAAAGTTAGGAGAAACAAGACAGGGAAATAGGGAAAGGCAGGTACTTGAAAAGTAAGGTTATAAGAACTAAGATTTTAAACTTCCCAGAAACAGAAGAAATCTATAGACAATAGAGTATTATTGGGTTTATTACTTACCTCAGGTGGCTCTTGACCAAGATTCAAATCACATAAACTTAGAAATTCCACTGGTTTGTGGAATTAATAAAAACCAAGAAATTAAATGATTTCATGTTCAAAGATATGAAGAAAAGAAAGAGGGCCAACTCATAGTATGGTGGTTAAGGTGGCTGGATCCCACATCGCTGACACAGTTCAAGCCCTGGACCTAGTGATTTGAAAAATACACTGAGCACGCGTGTCTGTGCGTAAAATTCCATGAGGAAGGAGAAATGAAGAAGGGATTGTAGTATGACCGTTCCCCATTAGGGTGCTTTCTCACTTTCCCTCTCTCTTTGTAGAGATCATAGGCATGCTCTGGCAAGAGAAAAAAGTAACAAAACAACTAGTAATATGGTTTTATATGGATATAACAAAATGTGTTAAAACTTATTATCTCTTTCTTTCTTTTAAAATTTTACTTCATAGGAGACTGATGCAGAGATCACTCTCCTATTTAGAGTCACCAGTAGACATGTATCTTAGGTTACATAATTTCTATTCAAGGGAAAGGAAAATAGGGCGAATAAAAGTACTTCATTGTGAATGTAATAGAGTTACCTTAAGCCAGAACCCTGGAACCCAGACAAATTGAATGACTACATCTTTGTGTTATTAAAAAAAAAAAAAAATATGCGACCAAGACTACTGATTTCCTAAAAAATAATAAATTCTCACTTAGCCCAATTTCCCCAAACCAGTCAAAACTGATTGCTTCCTGATTTTTTTTTTCTTTTTAATTTGTTACAGGTCTCATGCACTTGCAAGAGGAGGGGTGTAGGGAGGGAGGAGGAAGGGAGAGGGGTTGGTTTGTTGGTGGATTCTCCAGGGGAAACTGGCCTTGCCACAGTACCCTGTCTCCCATTCTCTTCTCAGCATTTTGGGCCTATATACACATGTACCCAGTGTGTTTTTCAAGCCATCAGGTCTGGGACTCAAACTGTGAATTAAGCATGTGGGATCCAGCTGCCTTGACCACCACACCACTAGACTAGACTATGCTTCCTGATTCTTTATCCCTTCTATACTGAGGTTTTTACGCACCTTTACTCAAAACACTCTCCTGATAATCCTCCATCTTATCAGGAAACTTACCTTGTAATTTCCTTAAAATAAAGATGACTACATATATTTATTTCTATATTTGCTCATCTACTATTTCTTTTATAATGTCTAGGAGGAAAATTATATTTTTTTATTCGCATTCCTGATACTATCTTCACCCATGACTTCTGTGACTGTGGCTTACCAATGATATCTTTTCCTTATAGCTTACTTCTCCTTTCAACTAGATTCTTTACTAGAATTTCAAACAAAATCGAACCCTCCATTAAAAACAACTTAAACATAAACCCCAAAACTGTTCACTTCCATGGGAAAGTATAATGATATAGGAGCGTAGGCAAGAGTACTTCAATGTGCTCTTTGAGGAATTGCAAATTGGTAACACTTTGTGGGTGATTTATCAACACAAAATAAAAATGAATCCCCTTCTCTATAACTGTTTAAGAATGTATTCTATAGAATAAAATGAACAACAGCATATTCAAGGATGGACACTGCAGAATTATCGGTAATAGTAAAAAAAATTGAGGGCAAATATTCAATAGGAGAATCAGTAAATAAATTATGGCACACATCTATCATAAAGAACCCTATTCAGTCATTAAAAACAATGAGGTAGTTCTTTCATTGTAAAGAGACTTCATGGCATGCTATTAAATTAAATAAAAGCAATTTGCAATGATATATAATGTTACCTCATTGTAAACACATAAAAAAAATTAAGGTTCCGGATGAATAAATGCCAAAGTAGAGAGAAGAAATGGGGGTAACTAAGGGAAAGACTTTAATATTTTAATCTACACACTTTCCAATGTCCTAATTTCTTCCAATAGTACTTTAAGTATTTTTGTAATTAAAAACAACAGGGCCAGCCAGTGGTGTGGGGGTTAAGGTGCTAGACCCCACATGTCCAATCACATGGTATGAGTTTCAAACTCAAGGGCTTGAACCAGGCATGCACATGCGTGTCTAAAATCCCCAAATGAGGGAGAAATGGAGAAGGGATTACAGTCTGGCTGCCCTCCATGTGGAGCACTTTCCCACATTCCTCCTCTCTTTCTGTCTCTCTCCATGTGAGTTAATATACCCTATGGCAAAATAAAAGCAAAAAAGAAACAAAACAAAACAGAAAAACCCCTTTCACTATTTCCCATCCATTATTGTCACCTCTCTGCCCTTCACTGTCAAACTTCTAGAAAATAGTAATCTATTCTAACAAGTAAACCTACTAAAACTACTTTTTAAAGAACAAATCCAAAAGCTTATCATCTCTGAACAGTGTTACTTGTTACTAGAATTTCCTATACCAATTGATTTCTTCCTTAAAGCTTTTTCTCCATTGGCCTTCCTCATACATCATCCTTATTCATTTTCTAGTTTAAGGAGGTTTCTCTCTAGATTATTTTACTGGGAACTTTACTACTTCCTTCTTTTTAAACACAGGTATTCTAGAAGATTCTATCCCTGTCCTTTGCTGCCCCTTTAGCACTTTCTTGTTGATCCTGCCACATTTCTGCATCTTTAATTATATTTATTTTTTAAAATTATTTAATTTTATTCATTCATTCATTTATTTAAATTTGACAAGTGAGAGACAGGGAAAGTTAAAAAAAAAAAAAAAGCCACCAGGTCTGGGACTTGAATCATGTTAGGCCAGGTGCCAGTGTCCAGTGCTGTAACCACCATGCCACCTGTGGCCCCTTCACATACATTTCTAAATAGATTCCTTTAGCTCATAGTGTTCTCTAACACTGCTGACCTGATCAAGCATCTGATGAGAAGACAGGGATGTCTCATCATGCTTCCCAAACAAGCTCATGTAAAGCTATCCTTACGTTGGAACTATTGATATTGCCTCTGTTTTCATTCCCACTTACTGATATCACTATCTTCCCAGTCACGCATATGAAAAGCTGTCTCAGTTTCTACTTTTCTTATTCCTGTTTAATAAGTTGCCAACTTGATCATTAATTTGTAGGACTCAAAGCCGTTTTGTTTGTCTTGTCACTTCTTTAAAATTTTACTGTTGTAAAAGAGATACTATTGTTTTATTTGTTTGAGAAGTTTTTGCTATAGGGCACATGCGCTCGCCAGAAAGACAGAGAGAGACATAGAAATAGAAAGCGAGAAATCACCCCTTAGGGGTATGGCCAAGCCACAATCCCTTCTCCTCCATTCTCCGCTCGGGATCTTGGGCACGCACACACACGTGCCCGGTGTGAGTTTAAGCCACTGGGTCCGGGACTCGAACCACGGCCGACTACATGGGAGTCCAGTGACATAGCCATTACACTAACTGCTGGTCCCGTGAAAGAGATACTATTGTTTTTACAGATATTATATTGGCTGGAATTCAGAGCCACATTTTTGAGAAGTATTTATTTCTTGGGTGTCTCCTATGTATAAATGAAATACACACGTTAATAAATTTAGGTTGTGGTTTTTTTCTTGTTACTCTTTCTATTTTGACAGGAGTCTGTCCCAATTAAGAACATATAGGGGTTGAAGACAAAATTACTAATCTTTTCCTGTAACACTCTCTCCACCAGTTCTCATTGTGCTATTCCTACTGTGATGAATTCCTTCTTAACGTTCTCAGCAACAAGACCCCATGCAGGGTCAACTTCCACGTGGATATCCTCCTCCTCTTTCTGCTCAAGCTCTAACACTTAACACCAGTAGAGTCCCCAGTATGGAAGACCTCTCTGCCCTAAATAAGTTCTGATATTCTATGCCAAGGTGCCCTCCTCCGTGGATGTCCTTCTCATACCACAGACTCTAGCATCTCCAGATTGAATTAACTTTGGGCTATCATGTGAAATAGGGACCCTAATTCAACCTCCACCCCTATCCCACATAAATATCCAGTAAATCTGACATTATTTGTTTAAAAGACTTTCCTTTTCCCATCAAATTGCCTGTTGCCATAGTTGAGCATATGTGTGTGTGGGTCTATTTCCAGACCATTCTTTTCCATTGATCTACTTACCTAGCTCAATGAAAA